GAGCTCGAGAGGTCATCAAATCCTGACCTCTGCCCTCACGCCAGGACCAAGCACCATCTAGATCATCCCTGTTAGATGTCTATTCAACCTGCTTTTAAGTATCCCCAGTGATGGAGATTCTACAACCTCCCTAGGAAATTTTTCAAGAGCTTAACCACCCTCACAGTTTAAAAGGTTTTTCTAATGTCCAACCTAAACCTCCCTTGCTGCAAGTTAAACCCATTGTTTCGTATCCTATCATCAGCCAGCTGTTATCATATCGCCTCTCATTCATCTCTTTTCCAATCTGAACAAATCCAATTCTTCCAGTCTTCCTTCACAGGCTATGTTCTCTAGACCTTTAATCATTTTTGTCGCTCTTCTCTGGACCCTCTCCAATTTCTCCACATCTTTTCTGAAATGTGGCACCCAGAATTGGAAACGATACTCCAGTTGAGGGCTAATCATTGCAGAGTAGTGAGGAAGAATAACTTCATGTCTTGCTCTCAACACTTCTATTAATGCATCCCAGAATGATGTTTGCCCCCCCCCCCTTTTTTTTGCAAGTGTCACACTGTTGACTCATAATTAGCTTATGGTCCACTATGACCCCTAGATCCCTTTCTGCAGTACTCCTTCCTAGGCAATCACTTCCCATTCTGTGTGGAACTGATTGTTCCTCTGTAAGTGGAGCACTTTGCATTTGTCCTTATTGAACTTCATCCTATTTACCTCAGACCATTTCTCCAGTTTGCCCAGTTAGTCCAACCCCCTGCTAAAAGCAGGACCAATCCCTGCCCATCTGGTTGCCCATTTCCAAAAGATAAATTAGAATTGGAAAAGGTATTGAGAAAGGCAACAAACATGATTGGAGAATGGAACAGAGATTAAAAAGACTGGGACTACTGATCTTAGAAAAAGAGACAACTAAGTGGCAGGTACAATAGAGATCTATACAATTATGGATGCTGTGGAGATAGTATTATTTACCCCTTCACATAATACAAGGCCTAGAGGTCATCCAATGAAATGAATAGGGATTAAGTTTAATATGAACAAAAAAAAATGTACCTTTTCATGCAATACATAGTCAACCTGAGAAACTCATAGCCAGGGGATGTTGTGGAGGCCAAAAGTACAATTGGGTTAAAAAAATTGGAGAAGTTTGTGGAGAATTAGTCTGTCAATGGCTATTAATCAAGATAGTCAGGAAGACAACCCATGCTCTGGGTGTGTCCCGAAACCTCTCCGTGCCAGAAGCTCGGATGGGACAAGAAAGGATGGGTTTCTTGCTATTTACCCTACTTTGTTCATTCCCTTTGAAGCATCTGACACTGGCCACTACTGGAAGACAGAATACCAGTCTAGATAGACCATTGACCTGATCCAATATGGCCATTCTTAAGGATGGCCAGATAGTAACAATGTCTAAAAATGTCTTCTTTCACCTCCAATTCAATAGGAAATTTTATCTTTTCCTCCTAGACCAGGGACCGGCCACAGTAATCCTTATGTGTCATATGAAGATTGGATTACTATAATTACTATGTGATTACTATAATTTCAGTGGATTACTATAATTTACTGTATCTGAAGATGATGTATGGGCTCCAACTGGTACAGGATGAGGACTTCCTACCTTCTCCGTGGTCTGGGTGATTTTGAATCCGTAAGACTGGACTCTGCTGGTTTCTTTCTAGTCTGCTCCTGCTGCCAATTTAAGGCTTTTGTGCTAATCTTCAAATAAATTCATAGACAAGGTATCAACTTCATTAGTGACTGTATTTACAATTACCAAAGCATTTATGCTCCATTAGAACAATCCTGGTCTCACAGCCCAGGATAAAGCAGGAACAAAGCACTGTTAGTTAAGGGATTCCTGCTTTGGATGAACTTCCAAAGGAGGTTGGGCAAGTGCAGAGTCTGCCTACCTTTAAAAACATTGCAAAGCCTTCCTATTTGATAAAGCTTTCCTACCATAATGGTAACAATTGCTCTCCACAAAAATAATAGACCCTATCCCAAGCAGAGCTTTCAAAACTGGAATGGGGGTAAGCCAGAGACCCCACAAAGTCCATCAGTGTCCATCTCATGCTGACAATGTGTTTGACATAGAATGTTTTCCAACACTGTAATGATGGTCACCAGAATAAAACTGTTAGTAACTGTCACCATAACTTTATAAAAGGTAGCTCTCATTATTCAGAATGGAAGGACAGAGAAAGATTACAAACTATCCTACATTCAAAAGGTTAGCTCCTTGAAATCTGGACAGCTAAGCAATGGCTCTGTGGATGGGCTGTCAAGATGAAGGACCACAAACTGGTGGAACAAACTCTCCAAGGACCTATGGACCTTCACAAAGTTGCTATCTACTGTTCCAAGTGCAGATGCACTTTTTTGACCTGCCTTCTTTAACAAACAACATGGACATTAAAAAACAAAACAAAAAATGCTACCAAAACAAAACCCTACACTCCACATGCCATTCACCTCTCAGGAGAATCATAGAATCATATGGCTGGAAGAGACCTCAGGAGGTCATCGAGTCCAGCCCCCTGCCTAAAACAGGTCCAATCCCAACTAAATCATCCCAGCCAGGGCTTTATCAAGCTAAGACTTAAAAACCTCTAAGGATGGAGATTCCATCACCTCCCTAGGTAACCCATTCCAGTGCTTCACCACCCTCCTGGTGAAATAATTTTTCCTAACATCCAACCTAGATCTTCCTCACTGTAACTTGAGACCCTTGCTCCTTCTTCTGCCATTCGTCACTACTGAGAACAGTCTCTCTCCATCCTGTTTGGAACCTCCCTTCAGGAAGTTGAAGGCTGCTATCAAATCTCCTCCCCCCCCCACTCTTCTCTTCTGCAGACTAAATAAGCCCAAATCTCTCAGCCTCTCCTCATAGGTCATGTGCTCCAGCCCCCTAATCATTTTGGTTGCTTCCGCTGTACCCTCTCCAGTGCATCCACATCCATTCTGTAGTGGGGGGCCCAGAACTGGACGCAATACTCCAGATATGGCCTCACCAGCACCGAATAAAGGGGAATAATCACTTCTCTAGATAAATCTTCCGGCAATGCTCCTCCTAATGCAACCTAATATTCCATTTGCCTTCTTGGCTATAAGGGCACATTGTTGACTCATATCCATCTTTTCAGCCACTGTAATCCCCAGGTCCCTTTCTGCCAAACTGCTACTTAGCCAGTCGGTCCCCAGCGTGTAAGAATGCTTGGGATTCTTCCGTCCCAAATACAAGACTCTACACTTGCCCTTGTTGAACCTCATCAGATTTCTTTTGGCCCAATCCTCTAATCTGTCTGGGTCACTCTGGACCCTATCCCTGCCCTCCAGCGTATCTACCTTTCCCCTTAGCGTAGTGTCATCTGAAAACTTGCTGAGGATGCAAGATCCAGACCATTAATAAAGATGTTGAACAAAACTGCCCCCCCGCCCATGGTCATGCCAGAGTAGAGCCATGTAAGGCAGCCTGGAGCTGCAGCAGACAGGAAGGGAGCCTGCCTCAGGTTCCTGCAGGGTTGCTGGCCAGGAGCCATCTAGGTAAGCACCTCCCAGTCAGAGCCCGCCTCTGGCAGCCAAAGCCTGCCTCTGGCATCCCCCCCCCTCCCATTCTTCCCCAGGCCCTCCTCCTGCCTCAGGTCACCACCCAAACCCTCTGTATCCCCTCTGCCCAGCTCCTTCAGGTCACAACTCTCCCCCAGATCCTTCACCCTTCTCCACAGGCCAGAATCCTCTCCTTCACCTCAAGCCTCTGCCCCTGATCACAACCCCCTCCTTCACCCAAATTCCATCTCAGATCCCACACTGCACCTCAGTCCTCTATCCTAAGCTCCCTTCTGCATGCAACCGCCGTCCCAGACCCTGCACCCTCTCCATTGACGTGTGGCCCTTGACCACTTACCAAAATGGCCCCTCATTAAAAAATGATTGCCCACCCCATGCAAATGCATTTTATGTGGGTGAATTCTTTGCTGTGGTTCAGTTTCTGCTACATGCAGCAGAACAGGGGAAGTGGTAGGTGGCCAGTTATGGCCCTCTAATTCTCTGTCCCAAGTTAAAGAAGCTTAGGAGCTTCTGTGCCTTACACCCCAGATGGCTCTGGTCCTATAGAGCAGTGGTGTGCAACCTTTTTTCCACTGAATTTCACTGAGTAAAAAAAAAAAAAAAGGAAGCAGTCTCTTTAAATTGTTGGGCTGCTCTCCTGCCATTCCTCCCGCCCCTGCCGCATGTACGTAGGTTGCCGAGCCAGGAAGCCAGGAAAAGCAGCCATCCGGATCCAAATGCTGTGACCTCCCAGGAAAGCAGACCCATGGGTTGCGCACCGCTGCTCTAGGGGACCATTCATCAGCTGGGAATTGTTAGAGCACAGTGCACTCTGGACGATCTCCCCCCACCCCGCATAGTTCTAATATATCCCTCACTGCCCACTAAGCTGGGGGCTGAAGAGAGGCAATGATGTAGTTGACTCTATAATCACTTGGGACTCTGACTCCAGGTGCTATCCCTAGCAGATAATTAAAAGGAGCAGATTGGGACCGATGTCTGGATATGAAAGCCCATTTCAACTGCTGCAGTCTAGGAACATGCCATCTATAGTACCCATTGGTTAGAGGTGGGAGTAGTAGATTACCCATCCATAAACAGGTAGCCAGATTCTCATCCAGTGAAACTGGACATATATCCTTTGAATTCAGTCGTGCTATGCCTATTTATACCACCTGGGATTCTGGCCTATGATGTGGATTTATGTTATACAGATTTAACATAAGAGACTATATATTTTGTTATGGAACCATTCTCTCCCCCCCCCACCAAATAAAGAATCATAACCCTATGTGAAATCCTGGTCAAGTTTACACACACAGATACCTTTCCTGCCTTTGTACAAACTGGCACCTTCTACTCTTCCAAGTGTGTGTTTGCGGCATCATGCAGCTTGATCCTGCATGTCAGACTACCTGGCGCAGACGACCAAAAGGGATGCAGTTAAAAAAATGGAACAATATATCATACGTTTATTGGGGAAAGAAGCTATATTTAAAGATCATATATTTTGCACTGCATTGAAGCAACAAAAAAAAAGTGAAAACAATTCAATGTTCAACCCAGCACCACTGTGAAAAATAAAAACCTCTTTTAATAATAATTTTGGTAACTTTTCTCCCAATACATTTACAATGACTACAAAAGTGGCTTAAAAGATTTTAGTCCTGTATAGTATGTAAACTGAAATGAGAGTGATAGATGATCAAAAGGTTGAATTTGTCCCCCAGGTATATTTCTATTTTCCCAGGCCGTCAGAATGCTGGAGTCTTTTCCAATGTGAGTAAAGGCTTATACGATGCACAGTGAAACAGTATGGCCACAAAGGCTAAATCCCTTGGGGTACATCTACATTGCACAGCTATTTCAGGATCCCAGAGGGATCCTGAAATAGCTACCCTGCATCTACTAAGCCTCCCGTTATTTTGAAATATTTTTCAAAATGATGGGTGCGTTATTTCACCATTCCAGTAAACTTCATCACACGAGGGATAAGGGATGGCTCAAAATAGCACGTTATTTTGAAATCTGGTGGTGTGTAGATGCACCAAATTTCAAAATAAGCTATTTTGAAATAGTTTCGAAATAAGATATGCAATTGCATACACAAATTATGTATTTTATTTCGAGTTTAGGGTGTTGTGTAGACACACCCTTGGAGTCAGAGTAAACTTATTGCTACATTAAGAGAATGAATAATATGGCAGGAGAAATCGTTTCTGATGTATATTGAAATTCTATGTTACTGCCCACTTCCCTAATAAGGTTTGTATTCTTGGCTAAAATTCAGGAGCGCAGCTCCCAGAGAAACCAGTTTTTGCTTTTCAACCTTTGGTGGAAGACACACTGAGTGTTCTGCCCTTGTGATGTGCTTTAGAGAAAGAACGATGACTTTCACACCTCATTCACATGATGGACCAGAATCAGAAGAGTTTTGTGCTGCTCAAGCATCCTAGAGGTGTCTGTTTTGATTAGAAAATAAGTTAAAACTTGTCTGCAAGTCCTGTGCTATCTCACTGTGCCTCCACACAGTGAAACTTAATCACCTTACAAGGAATAAATAATACACAGATGATGAAAATGAATCAAACAAAAACTGAACTAAGCCTTTTAAATAGTACTGGACAGAAAGTTTAACTTAAATGTTGACGCACTGCTGACATGGCACCTATGCTGGTTTATAATGCAATTTTAGCCTGGGTAAAGAGATTTATTCCCATTAAATAGCCAGTCCTTTGGTTTGCTATGAAGCATGTCACAGAGCTTTGCTCATTAAGAAGAAGAAGAAAGTTCTTTCCATGGTTATTATATTGTGCATAATAAAAACGTTTCATGAATCAAAAGACCTCTTAATTAACAGCACCTTTTACATACAAATCCAAACCTTTATCTAGTGAATAAGAAAATCTCAGCTTCTCTTATGTAGTATTTTGGACATAGAGTACTGTATTATATATAAAAAAGTGAATGTACATTGTGACCTGGCGTTTAGTCCAGCAACGGGTTAACCAACAAGAGAAGTTTTACGTTGAATATACTGCCTTTGGTGATTGTCTAGTAACTTGGCACGACTACATAGTAAACTCAGAAGCATGGAACTCCACCAGTGGTAAGTGATGGAACATTCCATTAATAGCAATAAAAAGTGTTTAGCATTCCATTAAACAAGCATGGCATGCTTAGGTCATTCCTGCAGGATATATGCAACTTCCAAGCTGTTGTGGCTAGTGAAGTTTTAGGTTTCACTGAGCACTGGTTGCACCCAGTACAACCATATCTCCAGGCCATCTAAAGACCAGGAGAAGAAAAGTTGGACACTGAACTAAAATCCTGTCCCAAGCAGAGTGATCAAGCAGCACCACAGATTTCAGCTGACAAAACGTGTACAGTATTTGGTTTGGTTGTGGTCTCCTGAGCAGCTGGGCTTAGCTGGCTTCTTTCATGTTTTGTTCTTTTCCTAAACAACTGGCCACAGTCTTTCAGTACAAGTCATTTGAAAGGCATGGTTGGTGCACTCTCCATATAATCTCCAGGCAGACTGCTACATGGTTACCATTTCCCTGGAATTGGAACGCCACACTCATACCAGCCCACATAGTAGTAAGGTGTTGTGTAACCAATGCGCCCAAATGACACCGGTTCCTGGCGATACTGGCGATAATACCCTGTTGATGGAAAAAGGGCAGCATTTCAAGCAAAGGCAAAGTAACTTGACAAACGAGGTAGCTGCAATGCAGAATATGTATCATATAGAAAATAGAGTAGTTAACACAACAGAAACTTTTTAATCCTATGGCACTTCATGAGAATTGGGATTGTTAATGCCCTACCCTGCTTCTATCTTAAAATATTGCACTCCACGTACATATATATCCTCTACAGTTTCAGTTGGATTTACTGTTCTAACTCTCTAACTATTGCGTGACTATGCAATCTCTGCTGTTAAAGAGCTTTTGCATTTCACTCCAAAAGGTGGCTGAATTCAACAGCAAGGAAGTTATGCTTCTATATAAAATCTGCATATCAATTTACATGAAGTACTTTGGGGTGAAAAAGCCACAGAAATGTTGAGAGGTTAGATACATGAGGTTCTTTCTTTTACTGGACAACTTTTGTTGTGAGGTTTGATCTTCTGAGCTACAAAGAGCTTTTCTTTGGGTCTTCAGAGTTCTGTGTAGTTCGGAAGTTTGAACTCCCCACCAACAGAAGTTGGTCCAGTTAAAGATATTACCTCACCCATCTTGTGTCCCCTCTATCCTGGGACCAACAGAGCAACAATAAAGCTGCAAATAAAAATATAAGGCAATATTGTACCTTAAATGGTTCAAGACAGGATTCACAAATATCACTTTTTATAACAAGAGGTAGCAAAATTTCATGTAGCAAATATAGAGTTAACCCCCATTTTAAAAAAAACAGCAAAAAATAGATAGCCCCTTTCCCTCATCTGTACAAAGAATGTGTCGGCTCAAAGCATTAAAAGACTTAATATTCTTTCTGCATATTTTGGACAGTGGAATATCTGAAATGTTGATTACTCTGCCAGTTGAATATTTTGTGTGTTCTATATCTTTGCTTCTTAGAGATACCAATGTACAGCTGAATTAATAATTCTTATTTTAAAGAGAGAAATGCAGTATTATTCTATGACATCTACATGTAAACAGATATTTCAGGTTCTTCATGGGAACCTAATCCTTAAAAAACAACAACCAACTTTCTATGAAAACCCATATTGCTGAGTGAACAATTAATAGCAGTCTGTAGACCCAGACTCTGAGACTCACTGGTGCAGATTGTTTTAGGGTTTGGAGTTTTTTGGGGCTTGGGGGGGAAGGGGTTTGCACTGTAGACATATCCTAAGGGCTCCCCCCTGCCATTTTCTGTTTTATTCCAATAATTTATTTGTGACTCATCCTTTTTGTCTGAATCTTCATAAGCTGTTGTGGTTTGTGAATTATTATAGTAGGACATCACACAATACAGTCTCACAATCTGTGGTGGCAGTCTGGCTCCCAATAGAAATGATAAAACTATAGGCAAGGAAGCAGAAAGCCCCCTAATTCTATATACTGGGTGGAGTGCAATTCCTCAGCATGCATTGAGTTTCACTTCAGCTTTACTTTTTATTTTTACCTTGAATAGTAGGCAAGGCTTCTACATATGACTGAGGCCCCGTTCTTCCATCCATGTGTGAATCCACAAATTGGCAGTGATCCTCACCTCTCCCCCAACTATCTCCAATGCCATAGAATATATCTGAAAGGTGACATGCAAGATTAGAACTGGTACACATTGTAGTTTCAAATGGCCTTAGCTCAGTCGATGATGCTTTCTTATTTCCAGGGAAATAAAGATGGGAGAAAATCAGGTATTACATTGATGAGTAGCAATACACTAATAAATAAAAATATAGGTTAGACCTCCCTGATCTGGTCCCCTTGAGACCCAACAGGCCCTGAACATAAGAGCTTGCCAGACCAGAGGAGGTCAGTTCCAGCTCTTCTGCTTCTGACCTCTGGGCTCCCCTCTTGGCTGCTGACCCCAGCTCCTAGGCTCCCCCTCACCCCTGCCAACACCACTGCTGGCCCTGGCTATTGTGTTCTGCTCCTGGCCCCGGCCGGTCTAATGGCCACTGGCCCAGCTCTGCTCCAGCTGCAGGCCCCCCAGTTGCCCGACCAGCTGGGATTCCAGCCTCGGCCAGGTTCATTGCCATCAGACCAAATCCACTCCTGGTAGCCAGCCCCCCAGCCCAGCTCCACTCCCAGAACAGCTGCATTCTCGGCCGCTGGCCCAGCTCCACTTCTGGCTGTTGGCCCAGCTCTGCTCCTGGCTGCCAGCCTAGCTCTGCTCCCGGCTGCCAGCCTAGCTCTGCTCCCAAGCCACAGGCCTGACTCTGCTCCCAGTTCTGGCGCTGGCCGGGCTCTGAGCCACCAGCACTGGCCAGGCTCCTGGCCTCCAGACTCCTAGCTGGCCATCGCTCCCAACTGCCTGCTGGACCACGGATGTTGCTGGACTAGAAAGTCACAGAACAAAGATGTTCAACCTGTATAAGAGCTGAAGAATACTACATTTGCCAATAGGAATTAAGACACAGAAAAAACTTTGCAGTTTCATTAGGTACATTCCCTATACTAGAATCATAGTATGATAGGACTGAAAGGAACCTTGAGAAGTCAGCTAGCCCCGTGCCCCGCACTCATGGCAGGATAAGTATTATTTAGACGATCCCTAACAAGTATTTATCTAACCTGCTCTCAAAAACCTCCAATGCTGGAGACTACAAAACCTCTTTGGACAATTTAATCCAGTGCTTAACCACCATAATAGGAAGGTTTTCCTAATATACAACATAAATGACCCTTGCTGCAATTTAAGTCCATTGCCTCTTGACCTATCGTCAGAGGTTAACAAGAACATTTTTTCCTCTTCCCCCCTTCTAACAATCTTTTAGGTTCTTTAAAAGATATGTCCCCCTTTCAGTCATCTCCTCTGCAAACTAAATAAACCCAGTTTTTTCAATCTTCTCTCATAGGTCATGTTTTCTAAAATTTTAATGATTTTCATTGCTTTTCTCCAGACTTTATCCAGTTTGTCCACATCTTTCCTGAAATGTGGTGACCAGAACTGGAAAAAATATTTCAGATGAGGCCTAATTAGCACAGAGTGGAAGAATTACTTCTCATGCCTTGTTTACAACACTCCTGCTAATATATCCCAGAATGATGTTTGGGTTTTTTTTGCAACAGCATTACAGTAATTCCTCATTTAACACTCTAGATATGTTTCAGAAAATGATCGTGTTAAATGAAAACGTGTTATGCGGGGTCAATTTTCCCACTGAAAATAATGGAAAAGGTGGGGGTTGCGTTTCAAGCGCTGGTGTCTGTTGGGATCGGGACATAAGGTTGGGGGAGAAAGGGGACTGGGTTACAGCAGGGAGGGGACACATTTGGCTCTGGGGAAGGGAAGGGGAGGAGGATTGGGTTGGGAGTATGCCCCTGTGACGGGTCTGCCGGGACTCACACTGCGTCCGGTGAGGGAGGGTCGCCGGGGAATGGTGCGGCGAGTGCCACCCTCCGCCGCTTTGCAGGGAAGCAGGGAAAGTCCCGCGCAGCCGCCGGTGATGGGTCAGCTGGGGAAATCATGTAATTCCGGGGATGGTCATGTAATTCAAAAAACTTTCCCTAAAAATGTTGTGCTACGTGGGCACGTGTTAAATGAGGAATTATTGTACACTGTTAACTCATATTTAGCCTATTATCTACAATGTCCCCCATATACCTTTCTGCAGTACTCCTTCCTTGGCAATCATTTCCCATTGTGAATGGGTGCAACGGATTGTTTCTTCCTCAGTGGAATACTTAGCATTTCTCATTACCGAATTTCATTTTATTTACTTCAGTCCATTTCTCAAGTTTGTCTAAATTATTTTGAATTCTAATCCTATCCTCCAAAGCACTTGCAACCCCTGCCAACTTCATATCACTCAGAAACTTCATAAGTGTCCTCTCTATGCTATTATCTAAATCATGGATGATGAGATATTGAACAGAACTGGACCCAGAACTAAAGCTGTGGGCCCCTACTCAATATGCCCTTCCAACTTGACTGTGAACCACAGATACCTATTCTCTGGGAATAGTTTTCTACCCTGTTACGTATCCACCCTATAGTAATTGCATCTAGATTGTATTTCCCTAGTTTGTTTAGGAGCTAGTCATGTGAGACAGTACCAAAAGCCTTAGTAAAGTCCCTGGAATAAGCAGTTTATAAGAATTACAGTACAGATTATAGGGAAGGAAATTTCAACAAGAGCAGTTATTTTAATGTGTAATGAGAAGTAAAAAATAGTCTCAAGTACCAGTATTGCTAGGTTGATATCACTTTCAAATTTAAACCAGAAACTGTGAAGACAGGTCTCATATACAGGGGCTTTACTGTTCTGGTTGTTCACATATTACTGTTGTGGGCCAGGATGTAACCAATCATGTCTAGTGGTTAGATCACAAGTCAGAAACCAGAGCTGGAGTCAGGAGTCAAGCCAAGGGTCAGAGCTAGCCAATAGCTGGAGACGGAATGCAGAAGCAGGGATCTGAAACGAGGCAGGATCCTATATAGCAGCCAGCCTATGATTCACTTAATTGCTTAGGCAACTTTCTGTTTCTTCTTCCATTTTAAATAGTAAGTCTGAGCCAACTGGAGAGGTTAGATGCCTTTCCTAAATCGGGAGCTTTGTGCGCAATGTATCTGGTGAGCCAATGTCCATCAGCCCTATATATCCCAAGCTGTGAGATGGTGGTTGCATTGTGAGCACTGCCAGGGGAGCCAGAGAGAGCACAGATCTTACAAATACTTGTTTATACACATTCTTGAAACATACAGATATTTTACTAAAAAAAACCCAACCATTAAAACAGTTTGAAAAGCCTGGGGAATAACCCAATTCAACATTCCCTCTCAATACGACAGATTATTATGGCTACTGTTATATGGCATCTCTTGTTGAATACCTACCGGATGCTCAATTTGCTGAAACAACTGCAGCACTACTATGTATCTAACCTGCTCCGAGAATAAGTCTCCTCTTTTATGCATTCTGTGGTTCTTTATAGTACATGCAATGAATCCATGTGTGGACTTCCCATTATGACTACAGAAGTTCTGCATAAGTAATGAGTACAGAATTTTTCAGAGAGAACTGTATTATGATTAGACCTTGCTTTCACTGTGTAAATTATCTCAGAGGAGCAGCCGTGTTAGTTTGTAACTTTAAAAACAATACATAGCCTTGTGGTATCTTGGAGATAAACCAAAATACATAGAATCATAAGATTTAGTGGGTAAAACCCATTTCATCAGATGAAATGGAGTGGGAATTACTGTGTAAATTACATAGAGGGGTAGCCATGTTAGTGTGTAACTGAAAAAACTTAAACAACGAATGGTCCTGCAACACCTTAGGGTACGTCCAGACAGCGGGGCTATTTCGGGATACCTCTGGTATCTCAAAATAGCTGTAACTGAGTCTTTTAAATTCATCCGTTATTTCAAAATATTTTTCAAAATAACAGGTGCTCTGTTTTGGTATCCCTGTAACCCTCGTTCCATGAGGGTAAAAGGATGTATCAAAATAGCATGTTATTTCAAAATCTGGTGCTGTGTAGACACACCAAATTTCAAAATAAGCTATTTCAAAATACAATCAAAATAAGATAAGCAATTCGCGAAGCACAAATTGCATATCTTATTTCAAGATTAGGGTGTCGTGCACCCTTACAGACTAACAAACATGTACATAATATCTTGACATGATTTTTTCCCTTGCCTTCCCCATCTCCCCTCTTTTTTTCTGCTATTTATTTGTACCTCTGGACCCCTTATACTCCATTCATCTGAAGGAATTGGTTGTGCCCACGAAAGCTCGTGATGCTAGCTGCATTTTTGTTAGTCTCTAAGGTGCCGCAGGACTATTCATTGTTTTTTAAGTTTTTTGTGTAAATTACTTTAGGTTCCTATCCCTAGCTGCCATATGTGTGTCCAAATAGTGCTACCAGTTTAACCAGGCATTCCTTTGATAGGTTCAACAAGTGATGGATACAGCAAGTGGAGGGCTGACAGCACTGCAAAAATAATCCCCAAACCTACCTTTCAAGTCATCGCTGAGGTAAATCTTGTACCTCAAAGAATTGCAAAGAACCACTCCCACAAATTTTCGGTACCAAGTACGTTTCACATATTGCTTTCCACTGCAGTCTGAATAAGTGGGATCATATTTAAAAGTGAAAGGGATCCAGATGGGCTCACCACCTTGAAAAAATAAAAAATAAAATTAAAAAGGAAGAAGACTAATGGGTAAGTCTTATACTTCAAGCATTCTATGAAGACAAATGTCCTGTTACAAGAAGTACAAAATGTTTGGTGTCAGGTTAATAAACTACTCTTTTACTTTGAAACACATGAATCTAAAAATAACATTTGAGTGTCAAATGAAATAAAACTGATGCATTAGTCAAGTCCCTTCCAGACATCTGTCATAAATATATTGTTAAAATAGTATAAAAAATGCTTGTATATGGCATATTTATGAAGATCACAGATTCCTAGGCTAGAAGGGACACCTGTAATCATCTAGTCTAAGCTCCTGTATGACACAGGCCATAGAACTCCCCCAAAATAATTTCTAGAGCAGATCTTCTAGAAAAAACAAACAAACAAAATTTAAAAATTGCCAGTGAAGAAGAATCCACCATAACTCTTGGTAAATTCCCCTCACTGGTCGGAAGGTATACCTTATTTTCAGTTTCAATTTGTCTAGCTTCAGCTTCCAGCCACAGAATGAGTTATATATCTTTCTCTGGTGGATGGAAGAACCCATTATTAAATATTTATTCCTCATGCAGATCACATTAGAAATGGACAACACCTATTCAATCATCAAATCCATTCTCTCTGCAAAGACCCCTACATGATAAGGTGTCTCAAAAGGAATTGTTAATGTCTCATGTCAGCTATCAGAGACTTACAAGAACACTTGCTTCCTATCTGTTTTAATTCAAACCACGCATGTGAAAAGATAAAATTTAACTACAAAATGTATGTTGAATAATAAGAGGTTCTATTTAATTCATTTTAGTGCACTTAGAACTGAGCAGTGGGAGAATGAACATCTTTAAACAATGGGTGGATCTATATACAATACCAGTAACCACTGCTGCAATCCTTACATGCAGTGGATGTATTCTCAGCAGTATTCATGGCCACTGAAATCATTGAGGTTGTATGGTTGTTACTGGTGGCTCAGTTTGGCCTGGAATATCAGCCTGGCTTTAGTTCTTATTTACCTTGAATTTGTCCCCAATTCAGCAAGACACTGAAGCACAGATCTAATTTTAAACAATGAATAATCTCATTGCTTTCAATTGGATGACTTCTAAACCTAAAACTAGGCATAAGTTTAAGTGCTTGCTAAAATGGAGCCTATATGAGTATAGGTCAAATCGTAATGAGTATAAAATCTACTCTACTGAACACAGTCTCTTGAGATTTAACATTACCAAAAAAAAGTAAGTTTCATCACTAAAGAAAAAAAGTTGCAGAAAATATTGCAAGGAGTAGTAGGCTTCAGTGTGAAGTGAAATCTGTTGCTGTTGTGTTAAAAAGATGAGATATGAAGCTTAGAGGGCACACTCTCTCTTTCTTGTGAGTGATGTGTGTGTGTTCTGGGTGGAAACTTTGGCTAATGCCACAGAAGTTCAAGTTAAATCAAAACAGATTTGACACCAGCAAAATAATAATAAAAAAATGTTTTGCTCAATCTCAAATGAAGTAGTTTCTACTTCGCTATGTTGCGGTGGTTATGAGCTACCACTTAATTATGTTTCATAGGGATAAATATTCCAAATAACTGGTTTGTCTCAGTGTTTCCTTATATTAACTAATGGACGCCACTTTCCTTCTATAATGCCTTTATAGGAACATGTATGCAAGATAAAACAGATACAAGCTTCCAGTGTGAAAATGTTAATTTTCTTTCCTCTAGAGTCCTCCGTTGGTTTTTTATTAAGCAACTGGTGACTGTTAAGAATGAGAACTATGTTTTAAAAAATGTCAGTTTGTCTTTCCCCTTTTTGCAAAGCACAAACCTAGGGCCCAATCTTGCAAACGCTTGCACTTGAGCAACTTTTATACATGAATAACCACTGAACTCAACTGAAATGGATATGAATTCAGCAGACCTTGGGTATGCACAGTTACTTAACTGTGTGTTTGCAGAATTGGTGCCATAAACTTCACTATACAAATAAATGCAGTGAAATGTCCATTTCAGGAATAAAACATCATAAATATAATGTAGTTAATGTTAATATTTTTATTCATCAACTTCCTGGCCACTATCAACAGTACTCAAGAGAATCCTTGCAACAGCTGCACTGAAGTAGACCATGTGGTTTCTGGATCTAATCAGCATGCCTTTGGAAAATTATTTTCATATTAAAACACCAAACAACTTTTGGAGAATTAACATTTAAGACACAATTTTAGCCCAGGTTCTTACTACAGTCTCCTTCCAAAAACATGTCCACCTGCTACATCTCAGAAAAAAGAATCCAGATCTTCCAGAAAGCAAACTTAACATGCGGAAATTGTGTATCATGTCTTCCCTCACTCTGTTGCCTTATTTCAAAGTCTCCTGGGACAGGGACAGGGACAGGGACAGGGACAGGGAGGGAGGGAGAGAGTGTGTGTGTGTGTGTCTCTCTCACTCTCTGATAAATATGATAGGTGGTTTCCAAAGGACACTAGGAAAATCCAGTTACCATAGCTCCACTCCAGATTTGGTTAATAAACTAACTTCATTACCCACATGTAAACCCACAAGCAAATTCATGTACTGCTCATATAGGAGTGACCCTTTTTAATTTTACTCTCCTGAGCACAGGAAAGTCTTACTACAGATCCCCGTTCAAACTTCCTTCTCAAAAGCTACCAGGGCCTACATTCTGCAGACTTGGTCCAGTGCCAGTTGACAGTTCAGCAAGTCTCAACTCAATGTAGTAGCTAACAGATCAAAAGGAATGGTTACATAATCCAATCTAGCCTCATGAAAGTGCAGGATAAGACCCCCAACCAAGGGCGTTTCAGATACAAAACAGTTCCTACACTTGATTTTAGCCAAGCATAGTATATTTCGTTTACACCACTTCTTTTAAGAGGTAATTGGCTTCAAATGTTAGCTAAGACTGGAACACAGATCCTTGAGGTGAATCGGGAGCTGAGAGTCAACACAATTTGTATCACACTCCTTTCCTAAACTCTGGTAGGAAGTAGTATGTCATACTGCCCAGATTTGTTTCACAGGTTTTATAGACAATATCAAGAAAACATCAGAAGTAAGACTTACCAGGTGGTCTGACAATAAGCAGTGGATTATCTGTAAGAATGAAAAAAACAACAAATATTTTAGTGTTTCTTCTCATAAACTAGTGTCTCCTAAAGTTGAAGTGTGCTAGCTATCTTGAAAGAAAGAAATAATTGGCTGTAAAAATAAATCTCTAGTTGCTTTAAAAGAGCTGAAGATATGAGTTTCTGTCTCTTTTCAAAACAAATGGGGTATAAGTTATACCAATGTTTTCACATTGGATGGATCTAGGTTTGCCAACCCTCCAGGATTGTCCTGGAATCTTCAGGAATTCAAGATTAATTTTTAATTAAAGATTATGTCATGTGATGAAACCTCCAGGAATATGTCCAACCAAAATTGGCAACCCTAAATTGGCATTGGCACTTGGATTACACTATTTATTCCAATGGATATTCAAACTTCAACAGGCTTTTTGTTGTTGTTGTTAAAATTACTAAAAAAAAAAACCCCACAAAACCCCAACCCTGCAATCTGTCAGCTTTCAACAACAGAAGACTCCTTTACTTCAGCCCATCAGAAACCAGTTTAACCATGCAATCTTTTAAAGGTATAAGTTTTTCTACTCAATATTGTACTTCAGAGACAAGTCAGAACCAGCCATCTAGCCCCTCATGTAGGTGCCTATGTACCAGTTTGGGGAACACTGCAATGCTCATGCTCCTACCCTCCCAAACCTGTAGGCAGTTAAACCCCTCTAGGTCTAAGTTTTCACATTTAAAGTTTCCTAGGCACCTATATATCTCCTTCTGGAAATGTGCACTGCTGTCCCCCTCTAGGCATCTGGATGCCTATCTCCTGCCTAAGACTGAGGCCAGGTCTACACTAAAGGGGAAAGTTGAATTAAGATATGCAACTCCAGCTACATTAATTACATAGTTGAAGTTGAGGTATCTGGAGGTTCCACACGGTCTTCACAGCAGAAGGTCAACGGGAGCAAATGTTCCCATAGGCTTCCCTTACTCCCCATGAGGAGCAGGAGTTCCAGCACCATCGGGATGCCCTCCGAGTTCAATTTAGTGACTCTTTACTAGACCTACTAAATCAAACTCCGAAAGATCAATCCTACCAGCATCGATCTGCCCCACAGTGATTAAGTGGCCTCAGAGTGATGCATGAATTGGGGGAAGACAGGCAATCAGCCCAACCAGACCATTCTTAGTGGATTGGATCGTGTAGGCGAGCTCATACAAAAGAGCCATGGGAGGAGAAGATGCCCCTCAGAACCTTTAGCCAAGTGGTTAGGACACTCAGTTGGCATGTGGGAGACCCCTGACTCGAGTTCCTCTTCTGCCTGATGCTTACTCTAGCTATCAGGTGATAGGACAGACTCCAATGGGGTTCACTCAGTTTCTCCTGTTGAAACTGTTCCACTCTAGGTTATGAAAAGATACATGGAAGCAGAGAGCTGGATCCTGGTTCTTTCACATCCCAGGTGAATGCTCTCCTGGAGAGGGTACAGAGCTGAGAACCACAAGCAAAGATAAGTACTCTTGATAACCCAGACTTAGCCACCTATATCTCTGTGAGAGGCAGACTTGCCCACCCCCACACCATATTGGCATTGCTCATTGGCTAACAGAGGCAGCTTGATACTCAGCATGCTGGCTTTTGTGGATTACAGTCTAAGGTACCTATCTCTCCCCATTCACTGTACAGGGAACTTAGACTCCCAACATACTGCTGTTCCTGCGATTTTTCATGGTGCCTAAAAGTTAAGTGCCACAATGCTGAGCATTGCAATGCTTATGTCCCTTAGTGCTGCGTGTCTCAAACTGTGGGTCCCAACCCTCTGGGGGGTTGCGAAAAACTTAGAGGGGGGTCACAAGCAACTTAGAGGGGGGTTGTGGTATCACAAAGTTTGAGAACCCCTGCCTTAGTGCATTTAAGCCGTAGTAGTTAGGAGCAATTCTTTGTATCCATCTTGTGATTTATATTGTTTCTTGAATTGACCTTTCTTCTGTGCAAGATGCTTGAAGCCAACGTACATGGTTATCCATTGTCTGGCAAAATTCCAGGGAATTTTCATTATTTGATTAAATAGAACAATGGGTTACTGCCCCTTTCAGTGCATCAGCTATAGGTAAGAACTAATACTCTCACCAAATTGTCTGATCCCAAGTTGGCAATTATCTCTTTGAAACATTCTTTTCAATTTTCACCAGCTGGAAATTTTGAATAATTTTAAGAATCATAGCAGCTGTTCTCTCTCTGCTCTTTTCAGCGTCCGAAACTGCCACAGCAAGCAAAGGATGGCATTTGTTCAAGTTTGAAAGCCATTTTGGCCATGTGGTAAAAGGGAGATCAACATTATGAATAAAAGTATGGGCCCCATTCTGCAAAGCAATAACACTTACAAGAAGCTGCGGAGCTCTTTATTGTACCATTGAAGTCAATGCTAAAAGTTCTGCTTAATTTAGAGTTGACCATGCAATCAATATGCCTTTAAAATATCTGAATTCATTCCATAAGACCATTTACTTTATTATGTCGTTTTAGTTTGTTTCGTTTCTCCAAATAGAACTTCTATTGATTTTAATAGGCATTCTAAGGCAGAGACGATAGGACCAGGTTAAATGGGCACACACAGAAGAAGTGTACATTGTCATAGGGCCAAAACTAATGACCCTTCAAGCCAATGGACATTTTGCTCAAATAAACTTTGCAGAATTTGGCCCCGTGTTACTCAACAGCATGACTAGCCTGCAGCTCTGTAGAAGAAATAAAGTGAATAAAAATAGCCCATTTAGTGTACTATTTTTATAGAATATATTATCCTCCAACATTCTACTGGCACTAAAAAATTGGAGCAGACTTCACCAAAGAAAGAAAAGAGAAATGAAATTTGCCTGTCTGGTGGAACAATTGTTTCCTGTAACCCTCCCAGAAACTAGTATTTCCAACCCTTCAGCTGTTCATAATTAGAATGTTAGCTTATTAAGTGTCTGGCCAATCTCTCAAAGATGTATTAAACTTCCTATTGCCTCTCACCACTGAATGTTAGCTATATTTTCTATTTTAAATTTAACTTTCCATTCCCCCCATAGGTAACTTCAATTTCCTTTACATTTCCCACAGTTTCAATGACATGAGTCAATATATTTTCTTAATTTTCTTGGAAACAAATGGTTTACCTGAGAGTTTTTAAGAAGACTGTTCGACATCATAATCACCTCCCTGGCTTTGGCCCTAGTCCTATTATACACATCATCAAGATCTCAACTTTAAATAAAGAAATAAGCCACACATACCAGATTCTGTGACAAATGAGACTGAAGAGCTAATAGGCCCATAACCATAGGGATTCTTTGCTTGGACTTTAAAATAGTACCTGCAATAAATAGAGTAAAAGCATTAAAATAGTGTTGATTCCCTGATAACTCAGCTGTAAAGACTAAAAAGATGGGGCCAGAACAGCAGCTAATGTAAACCAGGGTAGTTCCATTGGGCTCAAGCACCAGAGAGTTTAATGGAGTTATATCAATTTATACTAGTTGAGCTTTTTGGCCCTTTGTTACACACATTTTCACAAAAATTGTACTGACATATCCACATTTGCTGAATAAAAATAAATAATCCAGGCTAATTATAGCCAGTTTGCATCATACAGCATGTCTGAAGGAAGGACTTGCCAAAAGGAATGGAATAAAAGATCAAAACAAGTCATAAGATATGTTCCAATCTCAGTTACAACAATATAAATCCAGACTTACCTCCACTGAGGTCAGTGGCATTCACTATAGATTTAAACTAGCATACCTGAGATAAAATTCTGCATTTTTACATTTCTTTAGAAATGCTACCATTTCTAGATGAACAATATTTGAATAATATGAGAAAAGTTACATATGTTGAGTTTTTCATTTCTCATCAAAGCCCTGATTCAGCTACTGAAGCAAATGCTTAACTTTAAGTGAAAATTCCTAATAAAATTCAAGTGCTTAGCTTTTCTTTTCCATGGAGTCCCCACCCTTGGGAGCAATGTAAGTCAAATGCAAGCCAGTGCTTACAAATTGCCAGAAACCAGGGAGCAGCACTCTTTGGATCAGAGTCATTGCTGAGGCAAGTCATTGGTAAAGCATGTGGACCCATCAGATTTTTGGCAAGATCCTGAGACCACCTATTTGGTGGAAGTGGGGAACCCCAAACCTTCCACTTAGAGGCTGGGGTTTGTTATGGCAAAGCTGACAGGAACTCATAGAGGTTGCTAATCACAGGGCTGCTACTGACAAAACAATAAGATTTCATGTTTGCAAATGCTAAGTTTGTTGCTGAAATGAAACTAAATGTCTGCTCTTCAGAAACAGTACTATAGAAAGCAGGAGGCAATTTAAGTCAGTTACTAGGCAAAAATTCTAACTTAAAATGCATGATTTTTTATAAATGCGTATGTTACGCTTTTCTCTTTTGTTGCTGCTTGCTTAATTCCACTCTTGCAAATAAATAATAATAATAATAATAATCTTTAAATGATGACGCTTTTCTCTTTTGTTGCTGCTTGCTTAATTCCATTCTTGCAAATAAATAATAATAATAATCTTTAAATGACAAGTGTTTGGATTTTGATTTTGCATTTCATCCAAATCAAGTATCTCCAGAAGCACAGTGCTTCCTAAAACCATCCATGATCAACATAACTGGGTCAGTGCTCAGAGGGAAGAATGTCACCATATCCCTCGATAATCTTCCATCCAAGCAGTAGGCCAAATGCTTGTGAATCTTACAAAAGCACTGTGTCACATGCTCTGGCTACCGGCCATGGTTAAATACAAAAAGGAAAAGATCAATTCACTTTGGAAATTAGGGGTAGAATTCTGTTTTCAGAGTGGTGATATTAGAGCCCAAGAGAGATCAGCATGGGAGAAAATCGTTAGGAACCTTTGAATCAATTATCGTCTGTGAAAAATGGCAAACTATCCTGATCTTCCTCCTTTGCTAAATCCCTTCCGTAGGCTCCCAGCCTGCTCCAACCTACTATGACCTCTGTTTTCCAGTTCCTCAGCTCCTCTTCTCATCCTTAACAAACCCATACTCACTTTCTGTGTCCTTCTCTCCCAGCCTTTTACCTGAGAGACATTCCCCTTCTCTTCAATGCTACACTTGTTCTTTATTTGCTTTATGGGGCGGGGGAGGGTGTTGAGTTGTGGGGACTGTATGGTACATCCCTCTAAGAGCACTTAGTGGTGGAAGCAACAAGGAAGGGGCTTTTACAGGGGCTACAAGGGTCATAGCAATTCTGGATGCATCCAGTGTGGGGGTTGAGGGGAACACTTTAACTAATACAGCTGGTCTTGGCCTTTGGAGGTAGGTTATTAACCCCCTCTTTGAAAGTAACCAGTTTCTGTGTATATCATACTGGACTAGCCAAAGGATTTTAGGGAATGTTAAGGAGAAGATTCTTTGGATTACACATCAAAGATAACAAGACTTGATTTACCTCAAAACTCTGCCTCTCTCTCCCCCTCCTTCTGCCAACCACCTGCTAAAGAAGTGGATCCCCTTTTATTTCAGTTGGACCATAGCGATCAGTTTAATTCCAGTTTACACGGGCTCTCATTAAGGCCTGCCTTTGCAAGGAGCGGGGCAAGAGACTTCATGTTTTTAAAAAAGCAAAGAGTTTCTCCTTTACCAGACCCAAAGCCTGGTTCCCACAGACCCCTCCAGCTCATCAGCGATGACCATTTCATACCTAGTTAGCTAACTCTTCTGGCCCAATTGGCTGCTGAGAGGAATCAACTTATGCACTAGTATATATAAAAGCCTTTGAGTAACAGATGTATCTCCTGGCACAGGAAAGTGCAGGTGGTCAAAATGTAGTGACATTTTAATAAAAGAGGTCATGCAGCTGAACTACAGCATGTTGACTTCCTTTAGAGCGCACTAGCAGAGAAGGACAGGAGGTATGGGGCACTTACACAAATTAACTGATATTTTATTTTTGATTCATAGGGTTTATTGTCCTATTTATGGACAAACATTGAAAAAGGGGCCAGATTCCAGCTGCATCATGATCCTCCCTTGTATTATAATCTGTAGCAGCTCACATAACAACAGCTTCCAAGGGACTTCAGTCCACTTTGGTTACACCCCTGCTCCCACTGAAAGCACAGCCCTTCACTGGGGCTGGTAAGGGCTATGACACAGGAATTGGTTGTACCATTGCTACACCCATTGGTGATGCTCCCTACGCTCAGGAATCCCCAGAAGAGAAGATCTGGGTAGTTTCCAAAGCCTACATAATACAAAGGGAGGTGAGTAAAGGAGAGAATTTATCTCCCATTGCTTTAAGCCTACAGGTTCTGGTCATATAGTAAATTCAGAATGCAGCCTGGGTGTTATTCCAAAGAACAACATTTGTTTCCGTGTCCTCTCTTCCGCAGCACTTCTCTTGTATGCATATAGCAGCCCTCCCCCCATCTCCAAGTCCTGTCACACCTCTCTTCCAACCAACACCCTACAACTGGACTTCTCAGGAAAGAGAATCCCATCTAATCCCTATTCCAAAAACTACAAAAGAATAGCAAACTCAAAGATGGAGGAAGTGTGAGCATAGCAACACTCTATTACCAAGCATCACTCATATGATTTCTGGTTATATATTTTTGAAATGTCTAAGCATTCCCATCAGATAAGGAGAGATGACCCATTCAAAAACTGACAAGAAGATGAATGGGGCCTACAAGGAAATCATTAATTGAATAAAAAGCCATTCTTCAGCCTAACACCAGCCCTCCATGGTATGCCAATTTTCCCCTCCACCAGTCCTGCTTATGGTATGAAACATATTTCTGTTCCTATAAGCAATAAGTTTATCAAAGATCTAAATTTAACAAAGATTGACATGTTCTCAGTTGCCCTCCCACCAGCAAGGTAGGGTTCTACTATTCCATGGGGCAGATCCTCATCAGGTGTACCCCCATATGTCTACCTCATACGTCTGAGGCATCTGTCTCTTTTCTTTCGCTGTGGTCAGAAACCAACAATTTTTGGTCCACTCTTGTTTTCTGCAAACAGTTCTGAATGTACTTAATGGCTGCATGATGCCCACAAATGCAATACACACTGTGGCAAAGAAAGCCACGTGAATGGGAGGAATTTAGGAAAGTTGTGTTTTCTCTTCATTCCCAACGCAATGCTTTCATTATGCAAGTATCTGCCAATGATTTAAATACTGACCCCTACTTCCTGACGGTGGCCAAGAAGCATTCAGCACAGCCAAGAAGGTGGGGGACCAGAGCACAAAAAACACACAGTGGACGTGTGTTCACTGTAACAGTTAGCTCAAGTGAATACACTTGAGTTACCTTACTCAAGTGAGAGGGACTACAACGTGAAGCAGCACTGATGTTACACAGAGGCATATGCGGCGGGTATCCTAGGCAGGGGAAGGCACTGCCTCGCCTAGCCCTGTGCCATGCCTGCTGGCCAGCTCTCTGGAACTGTGGCCCATGGCTCTCTGGAACTCCAGGACCAGGGCAGGCTGGGGCTGTGCTGCACCATCCACTGGCTCTCCAGAGCTCTAGGGCTAGGGAATCATGTTTGCTTTTTCTGAAACAGCGTCACTGTTGACTCATATTTAGCTTGTGGTCCACTGTGACCACTACATCCCTTTCTGCCGTACTCCTCCCTAGACAGTCGCTTCCCATTCTGTGTGTGTGAAACTGATTGTTCCTTCCTAAGTGGAGTGCTTTGCATTTATCCTTATTAAACTTGATCCTATTTACCTCAGACCATTTCTCCAATTTGTCCAGATCATTTTGAATTATGACTCTATCCTCCAAAGCAGCTGAAACCCCTCCCAGCTTCGTATCATCTGCAAACTTAATAAGCATGCTCCCTATGCCAATATCTAAATTGTTGATGATTAGCAGTTGACAAATCACCATAATTCAACTGCTACATCCCCACTGCATACTAGCTCCAGCATCAGCAGTACTCACGTTTCAACCCTCATCCCCTGAAAGGCCAGTTGAGCGGAAAGCACCACTAAAGATTTCTGTGTGTGGTTGAGAGTCAAGTTGGGGCAAAACAGGAGTCAAAGCTCATGTAATCACTTTACAGAAACCAATTTGATGTGTGTTCCTTTAACCATGGGCTTTTAGCTTGCTTCTCAGGGGAAATGAGAGCATCTTAGTGCCTGTTTTAATTTACACAGCCTGCTAATAGTTCCAGAGGCCTTTACTGCAGCAGTTAAGGGCTGCCTCAGACATACTCCCTTCTATCAGGTCACACCTTCTGAACCAATCACAGGGAAGAGGCTGGGATAGGACCAGCATGATAGCTGAACACCAGTAAATTATCCCTCCCACAGGGAGAATCCACAATGAGGTC